CTTACCCACTCCCTCCCATTCCCTTAACCAGGCGCTGATTTTCTCTATCCGCGGACGCGTGTCGTAGCGGACCTGTGGCTCCGCGCGCGCGTGCGTAGTGGGTGGTGGTGCGCGTGCGTGCGTGCGTGCGTGCGTGTGTGGTTGTGGTGGTGGTGGTGGTGGTGGTGGTGGTGGTGGTGGTGGTGGTGGTGCTGCTGCTGGTGGTGGTGGTGGTGGTGGTGGTGGTGGTGGTGCTGGTGGTGGTTGTGGTGGTGGTGGTGGTGGTGGTGGTGGTGGTGGTGGTGGTGGTGGTGGTGGCGGTGCGGCGCGGTGGTGGCGGGCGGATGGGCGCGCGAGAAAAAGGCCCGCGCTTGGGCGAGAACGCCATCCTGAACGACGGAGGCCAAACACCGATCCGAAAATGAGGCCCACGCTGCAGCGGGAGCACGATTCGGAACGATTCGGGAGCAGAAATGAAGCCGGCGCCCCAACGAGAACAACATTTTGGGAAAAAATGACGCCGGCGCCTCAGCGAGAGTCGTTTCCCGGGATTTCCCGGGCATCCTGTGTGTAAAAAACAATACGCGGAGGGTTCGCGGCCATCACCCGGACGCCATCAGGGGAAGGATTCGGGAGCAGAAATGACGCCGGCGCCTCAACGAGAGCAGCATTTTGGGAAAAAATGACGCCGGCGCCTCAGCCAGAGTCGTTTCCCGGGATTTCCCGGGCATCCTGTGTGTAAAAAACAATACGCGGAGGGTGCGCGGCCATCACCTGGACGCCATCAGGGGAAGAAAATGACGCCGGCGCCTCAGCGAGAGTCGTTTCCCGGGATTTCCCGGGCATCCTGTGTAAAAAAAACAATACGCGGACGGTGCGCGGCTATCACCCGGACGCCATCAGGGGAAGAGGGAGAGTATATTCATATTGAATAATTGTGGAGGAGGAGGAGGAGGAGGACGGAGGAGGAGGAGGAGGAGGAGAGGAGGAGGAGGAGGAGGAGGAGGAGGAGGAGGAGGAGGAGAGCCAGGAGGAGGATGAGGAGAGCGAGGAGGAGGAGGAGGGGGGAAGAGGAGGAGGAGGAGGCTGGAGGGGGAGGAGGGGGGAGGAGGGGGAGTAGGAGTAGGAGGAGGAGGAGGAGGAGGAGGATGGGGAGGTGAGGAGGAGGAGAGGAGGAGGAACAGGAGGAGGAGGAGGAGGAGGAGGAGGAGGAGGATGAGGAGGAGGAGGAGGAGGAGGAGGAGGGGAGGAGGGGGAGGAGGGGGAGGAGGAGGAGGAGAAGGAGGAGGAGGAACAAATAAGGAGACGACGCAACAGCTGGCATGCTCGCGCGTGCAGAATTTTCGGGAAAACCTTTTGGACAAGCAAACTCCTGTGCACGCATCCGATGAAACGCACAAAACAAACAACTCAACAGCAACGGTAATAGATGCGAACTCCCGGGCACTACCTCATTCGAGCATGCGTGGAAAGCATCGCTCGCGAGGGAAACCATAACAATCGCTGATAGGCAAAAGAGGGAGGAAGTGAGAGAGACAAAACGCAACAACGGGGCAACTACAACTAAACTAATGTGGGATGGGGTCAGCTTCGCACCCAAAGCGATGCAGTCCTCGGGGTTGCGTGAACTTGCATGTGGTGGCCCATCTGTTACATATCGTCTTACAATACTCGAGAAAACGACGCACGGGATCTTCTGAACAACGAACTGGATCCTAATATGGGTGTGGTAACGTCGTTTGCGTCCATGGTTTTGCCTGGGAGACCAATGCGGCAACTGCGGGAGAAAATGCTCAGATATGCTCGTGTCGAGGATACGCAGCTGCCTCGCCGCCTTCGCCTGAAAGACCTTTCTCCACGGGTCCCTTGGAATATTGGGCACATAGTTCAACGACCTCCAGCTGTAATGCACTTGGTCCTGAATCGAATATGATACCCACGCGCCACGAGCCAAACCACTCCCTCGATCACGTCATGATCTTCCTCGACCATCTTTCGTGAAGTACCAACACGACAGGCAACTCGGTACTGGGCGACCATTGCGAACGTCACGATGTCGTTCGCGCTGCCTGGCATCACAAGGTCCTTGAGACGAAAGAACATCTAAGGATGCAAAAGATCTCGTGGCCAACTGATCACAGCCTGCAGACTCTCGCGTTGAGCTCGAATCACCCGCGACGTGGGCGCAACAAACGGGGCAACATACGAGAGGACACTGGCGGCCAACGAGTTGTAACTGATGATGGCCTGTGTGAATGCAACTACTGATTGCTTGCAGAAATTCACTCTCGTGTGGTACTCTTCGAGCGGCATCTTCCACAAGTCAGTGTAACCGTCGATGCCGATTCGTACGAAACATACGTGCCAGCCGAGCCGACCACTATACATGGGACGTCCAACACACAAACATCACGCCGGCGGTAGATATCCTGCTGCGTCTTGCAAGAGTGGAAGATGTTGAGCGTGCTACTTCGACTCGTACTAATGCGGAACGAATGCAGTCGGGGCGTTGACCTAAGGAACCCTAAATAAGGAACGAGGCCCATTTTTCCCATCAGTTAAACTTCGATCTCCCATCGAACACCTAAGGAAAACCTGAGGCAAGCTGCGAAGCACTTAAGGAACGCGGAGCCCCCCCCCCCCCCAACGAAAAGGGTTCCTTCTTCAGGGCCCCGACTGTAGATCTCCTGCTGCGTCTTGCCAGAGTGGAAGATGTTGAGCGTGTTACTTCGATTCGTACTAATGCGGAAAGAATATCTGCCAACCCCGCAGTCTTCTGGGAACCGGAGGCTGCACAATGCTCACGGCGCGCGCTTCCAGGGACGCGACGCACGTCGCACAGTCGTTGGCCACGTCGCGCGGCGCAACCAATCTCCCTTGCGATTCAGAAGCGCGCCCCTGGATATATATATATATATATATATATATATACGCGCAGCGCAAGTGCATGGATCAGCGCGGAGCGGACCAAAACGCGAGCGCTGCTCGGGGAAAGTGAGCCCGCGAAGCGCGGGGGAAGTCAGGCGAGGGGTGGAGGAGGTGGAGGGAAGGGGGGGGCCGCCAGCCAGGAGGCGCCAGGAGCGCCCTCTCCCGCACCGCCCCCTCAAAAGGGAGAAGGGGGGAGGGGGTAGAGGAGGAGGAGGAGGAGGAGGAAGAGGGGAGGAGGAGGAGGAGGAGGAGGAGGTGGAGAGGAGGAGGAGGAGGAGGAGGAGGAGTGGAGGAGGTGGAGGAGGAGGAGGAGGAGGAGGAGGAGGAGGAGGTGGAGGAGGTGGAGGAGGAGGAGGAGGAGGAGGAGGAGGAGGAGGAGGAGGGGGGGGGCAAGGAGGAACAGGCGTTCAGGAAGGGGGAGAAGCGAGGCAGCAGACCGGCAGGCCCTTTGAGCACGGCCCCGAGGCGTGGACCGCCCCATCGCGGCGGGGCGATATCCTAGCAGGGGCGGTGGGTATTCTCGTGGGGCCCTGGGAGGCAAAAAAGTACCCACCAGGCGCCCTTGGAGGAGTTCGTGCTCCCAGGTCTTTTGCGATTGCCCGTCGAGCTGCTCATTCTCCAGTTTTTCCTGCGCTTGCTCCTTGCCCCCGCTTCCTCATACTCATCCTTCCTATTCACCTCGTTCTGCCCTCCCTTGTCGTTTCCCTTTCCGCTCGTCCTCCTTCTGCCACCCCTCTCTTACCAATGTAATTGGAATCGGCTCGAGCTTTGTGGCCGACCCTGCAACCCTCTTGTTCCGCGTTCCCAGTTTGGGCCGCCCCGATCGACCCCTGCGGCGGAGCGACGTTCGGTCCTTGCTCGCGGCGGCCCGCCGAAGGGGTTCGTTCAAGTGTGGCGCAGTGTGCCATGTATCGGCTCTGGTATTTTCTGGGGGACATGCGCTGCAGCGGCGGTGGGCAAAAAACCGTTGCGGAACTAAGACCACTGGCGTGCCCGCAGTTCCGCAAGAACGCAAACACCGTCAGGAACATGCGACATACGTCTTTGCAAACGTGTGCCAATCATCAGCGAACCGCTTGATGAAAGATACCAGCCGCGGAATCAACGAACACATACGTCTGACTACTGGGTCCAGGCACAATGCGAAGATTGTCCCCGACATCGGGCACCCCTGCTTGATCCCTGGGAGAGCCCTGAACCCCTTAAGAACCCACCGCCAAATGCCAGGCGAGTGCGCATTTTCCTCGAGAGGTCCCGAAATGCCCTGGTATGAGAGGGGGCCCAAACTATCCACGAGTGAGCCAGACCAGGGACTAGGGAAGGCAGCTGTGAAGTCCGAAACCGTAGGCCCACGATCAGGACGTCCCTGGAAATCTTCTCGAGCAGTGAGCGACGAGGACCCCCCGCGATATCATGACACACCTGGCACCCCTCGACGAACCCAGTTCGCGCCCAACCAAGTGTGTACTGCACCAGTTGTGCTCGCCCGCTGCCGATAGCGTGCGGTATGAACTCATCGCACGTGTGCCAGGGTGAAGGGGGGGTCGAAGTGGCCGACGGAGGTCTAGCAAGTCCATACGGGGCAGTGTTAATACACAGGTTTTTTGTACATATAGGATTCTTTCAATACATGATTAATTTATGAATGAATGTATGCATGAACTCCTCGTTGTTTTAAGTGCTGAATCCTTGTATTTTAATACATGATCCGCACGCGGAGCATGTCATAAAAACGGCACTGCAGGCAAGAAGACCATGTGGGAGTAGTTGAATTCCACGGGGAGCTCCCCCCGCCCTCGGTATATTGTGCTGGCTCCATCTCCTCCGACACGGAGGTGCGAGAAGCGGCTACCGTCGGGCCCCGGGGCAGTGTCGACCATTTTCCTGGGCATCTCACTCAACATGCCGATGATTTGCGATTGCTGTTGATGATTATGATGATGATGATCATGTTGTTGATGATGATGGTGATGCTGCTGATGATGAGGATATTGGTGATGATGAGGATGATGATGCTGCTGATGATGATGATGTTGTTGACGATGATGGTGATGGTGATGATGATGATGATGATGATGATGTTTTGTTTGTTTTTGCTTACCGCTATGAAAGAGAGCTTCAGCCTCCAGCGGCCCCAGCAGTCGAGGCACTGTAAACGATTGCCTTCAGTCCAAGAGCTCCTAACGTGTGTTGTAGCCACTCTGGCTCGTAACTCTTCCACAACTTTCGATCTAATGCGACGGTCGTCCAATCCTTGTGATACTTTTGAAAGAAGAACGATGTCACTTGAGCTTCGTAATGCCATGGCGAAAATCGGGCATGGCCCTGCCTATCAGAGACTCTGTGAAGATTCAAACGCCCATCAGAATGGCAATTCCATGTGAAGACCTGGCATAACAACAATTCCGGGCAACTTTCCATAAGTCGTCCCACGTGCCCGAAGTACCGGTAAGTACGCCGAGCCGCCGCCACATCCAAATCAACGAAACCGTTTTCCAAACGGATCTGCCTCAGAATCCGCCTCTGTCGACGAGAATACTGCTCATCAACTTCCCCTCGAAATCGTGGAACACGGAGGTATTTGAGCATAGCCCCTATCTGGACAGCGCGCAGCCGTTGGGCAGCATGCTGGTTGTAGGTCCAGACGCCAGCCGACCACGTAGCCGTAGACGTGCAGATCCTGTGAATGAGGCCGCACCGCTGCTTCCGAGTGGAAGTTTTGCCGGAGAGAACAGACGACGATTGAGCAACAGCACTCCGCGCTGAATACGTCTTGACTCTAATGTCCTCCCCCGTGCGACCATGCGCATTGATGTAGATGCCCACGCAACGCATGAAGGCGTCAGGGCCTTCATATGTAGTTCCTGGCCAAGAATTTCCAGAATCTGCTCTGTCCTGGCTGTTGATGATGCTGTTGATGATGATGATGATGATGATGATGATGATGATGATGATGGTGATGGTGATGGTGATGGTGATGGTGATGGTGATGATGATGATGATGATGATGATGATGATGATGATGATGATGATGATGAGATGGTGATGATGATGATGATGGTGCTTGTGATTGTGATTGTGATGATTCTGATGATGATAACGATTATAACGATGAGTGATATTATGATGATGACGATGAGGACGACTTGGAGGCGGAGGATGTGGATCAGGGCCAGAGTATACCCAAGATGCGCCAACGATGCCGCAGTGCACCCTTCCGTCCCAAGGCCTCTGCTCACGAGTCCCTACGGGCACTCTTCTTCGCTGTGGGGAGCGCCCCCCTGCAAGACGAGCGCCCCCTATGGGCTGGCCTTCCAAGCGAGGGGCTACTTCTCTTCGTGGCCGACGGGGCCGCGAAGAGGTCGGATCATACAGAGATCTCAGACCTGTCCCTACGGGCACTCTTCTTCGCTGTGGGAAGCGCCCCCCGAAAGACGAGCGCCCCCTATGGGCTGGCCTTCCAAGCGAGGGGCTGCTTCTCTTCGCAGCCGACGGGGCCGCGAAGAGGTCGGATCATACAGAGATCTCAGACCTGTCCCGCGAGAGCCCCGTCTCGGAACCGTGCGACCCGCCATCCGTGTGGCTGCAGGACTTACATACAGCGAGCGCCTTGAATAAGGAACACTTACTTTTCAAAAGGGGCTCGGTCGTTCCTTAGGCTTGCATACGTTATTTACAATTCCTTATGCGTTATTTGCTATTTATCGTTCCTTATGCGTTATCCCTTGGGATAGAAAATGGGCTTCGCTCCTTATTTATCGTTCCTTAGGTCAGGCCGATGACTGTATCTCGTTGCGCGTTTCGCTGACGTCTTGGGCGAGAGTGCAATTTTGAAAATGAGCCGCCCTCCATCCACGTAGCGCTCGCCTGGCCGTGCACTCCTGCCTGTCTTATGCAGGAGAACATATCAGGCGAAGAGCTCCACTTTGAACCGGAAAGGCCTCCATCGTTGCCGCTGGTGAAACTCTTAAGACAAGTGTGCGCGGCGCCGAGGCGAGAGACGTACTGAAAGCTTATAGAACGACTGTGCGCGGCGCAAGAACGAGAGCAGCCTTTTGAACACAAGTGGCCCTCAATCCTTTTCCGCCACTGTGCCTCGAGCCCCAAACACCCGATCTCTTGGGATTGCTTGCGTAAGTTTTGGGGCTCCCGGAGGGTCCCAAGAGGGCTCCAAGACCGTCCAAGGTGCGCCGAGACAGTCCAAGAGCGCCCTAAGACGCCGACGATGGCGCAGGGGGCGCCCGAGACGCTCCATGAGGGCCCCTTGCGGTCCCCAAGAGGGCTCCTGGAGGCAGAAACGATGGATTCCCCAAAGCTCTTCCATGCACTTAACGCCCCGAAGAGCTCCCAAGACCGCGCCGAGACGGCCCAAATGGCCCCCAAGGGGGTCCCGAACTCCGGCTCCGACTGCCGCCGTTCTTCGAGCTCGGGCCGCGCCCGCCCCCTGGTCCGCCGCCGTCCTCCGCTGCCGCCTCCTCGGTTCGTGCCTCTGCGCCGCCAGCGTGTCCGTCTGCGCTTTCGCGGGCAGCGTGTCCGAGTCCAACTTCTCACCCCGCTTGATCCACGAATGACCTTCAACGCCTAGTCCCACTGCTCGGCTCTCTCGCACGCGCCGATTCCGGCGCTGTAGCTCAACGAGTCCGGTTCCAGCTTCACTCCTCGCAGCTCTTCCAGAAGAGGAACAACCTGCAAAACCTGCCCGCCATCTTGGCAAGATAGTAAAACACAGTTATATGAGATAACATTCGGATGCGTGATTGCATCACGCATCTCGCGCAGCATCGGCAGCGCCCACCGCCACTGCTGGCCTTGCCCGCACGCGCTAATTGCAACGTTGTGGCTCGTGGTGTCCGTCTCGATGTTCCTATGCTGCATCTCAGTGAATAACATCAGCGCCTGACGCCACTGACTACTTTTTCCGCATGCGCAAATTGCAGCGTTGTAGCTGATAACATCTGGCTTCAACGTCCTCGTCCCAAACCCTCTGAATACCAACAACGCCTGTTGCCATTGCCCGCCTTTCTCGCACGCGCTGATTGCAGCATTGTAGCTGATGGTATTCGCATCCAATCTTAATTCCCACGCCTCGCTGAGCAAGGACAGCGCTTGCTTCCACTCCCCGCATTTCTCGCATGCGCTGATCGCAGCACTCAAAACGACGACGTTCGCACTCAGCTTCGCTTGCCGCAGCTCCCTGTATAAAGTTAAAGCTCGCTGCCACTGTCCACCTTTTTCGCAAGCGCTAACTGCAACGCCGTAGCTAATTTGGTCCGGGAACAGCTCAACTAAGCGCAGTTCACCGAACAACGTTAACGCGTGTTGCCACTGACCACCCTTCCCACACGCGCTGATGGCAGCGTTGTAACTAAATTCGTCTGGCTGTAAAGTCAACCTTTTCGCTTCGATCAGAAGCGACATTGCCTGCTGCCACTGCTCGCCATTCTCGCAAGCGCTGATCGCGGCATTGTAGCTTCTGACGTTTGGAACCACCTTCGCTTCCCCCATACTGCTTAGCAGCAACCTCGGATAGAAACAGACGCATCAGCATCAGCATCAACAGAAACTCTCGGAGGTCCGCGCGAATGTCTTGGATCGGCACTGGACCCCACTGGCTGCGCCATCGGCGCCGCCCCTGGCGCGCTCCGCGCACCAGGGATGGGGGGCTCTGGCGCAGATCCCAAAAGTGCGCGCGGACCTCCCAAAGTATGCCTACATAAGGAACGAAGCCCCCTTTTTATCCCAAGGAATAACGCATAAGGAACGATACATAACACATAACGCATAAGGAACTGTAAATAACGCATGCAAGCCGAAGGAACGACCGAGCCCCTTTTGAAAAGTAAGCGTTCCTTATTCAAGGCGCTCACTGTATTCTGCTGATCTCTCTTCTTCGACTGGATCCCTCACGAACGGTCCACGCATCCATACCCACGCCCTCGCGCTGTGGACTCCGCGGGCGCGCTCCTGTGGATGCGCGGTCGCGAACAGCCGCGTTCCGTGCGGGGCGTCCGCGAACAGACGCCCGCACCGAGGGGGCCGTGGCCGAGGGGCCTGGCCCGCGAGGCCGTGGCTGTGGACATGCTCTCGGCCAACGGATCCCGCCGATCCAAGTTCCCAGACTTCTGATCTGCAGGGCGGGAGCGAACCTCTTCCTCTGAAGGCTACGCGGGACGCGCACGGCTTTAAGTGGCAGAGAAAGGGCGGGAGAAGGCGGGGCCTCACGCGGCCAGGGGCGGCCAAGTTCCCAGACATGCGACGTCTTGATTTTTTCAATGCGGGGTCACCGGAAGCTCCGACCCTCTCCCCATCGGCTGCACGCAAGAGTGACCCTGGGCAAGAGTGACCTCTGGTGCGCGGCATTTTGGGGGCCGCGGGGAGACCAGACCTGGGCGCGCGAGCCGCTGCTACCGCTTCGTTTTCAGCCACCTGAGGACCCATCTGTGCCCGCACCAGAGGTCACTCCGGCGAAAAGTCGCTCTTGCGTCTAGTCGAGGGCCGGTTTGCATCCCGAGTCGTCTTCTGACGGCCCTGGGGGCCCAGCGAGGGCCCCAAGGAGGCAGACGACGGCCAACAAGAAGCCGTCCGTCGGGCTTTTTTTTTGTTCGCGGCGCCAGCGGGTCTGGGCTGATCGGCCGAGGAGCAGCGCCGGCGGTGGGCAAACCTCCCTTCAGTAAACCTCCCCTTTGTGAGAACGGCCTAAGACCGAAACCGACGCACCCGGACCAGCAGAAATGACGGCCGCGACGCCCCTCGCGAACCGAAAACGGCCAATTCCTGAATCGACGTATCAGGGTAGGAGGTCTGTCCACTAGGCGGCGCGCCCAGGGGGGGAAGTGAGAAGGAGAAGGCCTTCTCAGAAGGCTCGGACATTCCCGGGACTTCTGAGAAGTTTTCCAAGCTTTCCCTGAGGACAGAAAAAACTGGCCTTCTGAGAAGTCCCGCCGCCTTCTGAGAAGGCCTTCTCCTTCTCATTTCCCCCCCTCGCTCGCCTCCGATCCACCCCCGACAACGACGGGGGGATGCTGGCTGGGGGGGGGGGAAAGCATCGACCTGGAATCGGCGTTGCCTCGCCGATTCGGCGGCAGGCTCCCGATGGCGAAGCCGCACGGTCCTGGGACGGTGGGCCCGTCGGGCCCAATCGGCGATGCGTGGGCGCCGCTTGGGGTCGATGCGCCCCCCCTCCTCCTCCTCCTCCTCCTCCTCCTCCTCCTCCTCCTCCTCCTCCTCCTCCTCCTCCTCCTCCTCCTCCGCCTCCCCTGAGCATAGGCCCTGGTGGTTTTGGGGTCAAAACTCGGGCCTCGGGCAGCCCTTCGGGACGATGTGGGCACCCCCGGGCACGCCCTCGACGAGGCGCAGGGGATGGAAACCAGAAAAAGGGCTGGGAAACCACCGAGACCGACAGAGACGCCCGAAAAGCCTGGAACGCATACCTCCTCTGCTGTGCCGCTTTTTTTTTCGCAGCGTGTCCCCCCTTCCCTGAGCCTCCTCCTCCAGCCTCCTCCTACCTCCTCCTCCTCCTCTCTCCCTCCTCCTCTCCTCCTCCTCCTCCTCCCCCTCCTCCTCCTCCTCCTCCTCCTCCTCCTCCGCCTCCTCCTCGAGGACTCCTCCCCCTGAGCGTAGGCCCTGGTGGCTTTTGGGTCAGAGCTCGGGCCTCCAGCGGCCCTTCGGGACGAGGTGGGCACCCCCGGGTACGCCCTCGACGAGGCGCAGGTGCTGGAAACCAGAAAGGACTGGGAACCCACCCGAAACAAACAGAGACGTCCGAGAACCTGGCACCCATACCTCCTCCGCTGTGCCGCTGTGTTTTTTTTCGCAGCATGTTCCCCCTTCCTGAGCCTCCTCCTCCTCCTCTTCCTCCTCCTCCTCCTCCTCCGCCTCCTCCTCCTCCCCCTCCGCCCTCTCCTCCGCCTCCTCCTCCGCCTCCTCCTCCTCCTCCTCCTCCTCCTCCTCTCCCCCCAAACGTTGCTCCTGATCGGCCCCCGACCCAGGACAAATCCGGCACGCTCCGCTGGTCGGCGGTGCCCGACCCGATCGCTCCCGGCGGGTCGGCCCAGGGCCCGCGGCGGGATCTGCCGAGCAGCAGAGGCCCCCTGAGGCGGCGGCAGCGCCAGCTGCCACTCCCTGCCCTGTTCGGGGTGTTTCCAGAGATGCCCCTGGCCTCGCGTCGTGACGCTCGGGTCGGGCGAGAGGGGGGGATAGTAAAGGGGGGGGTTCAGAATCAGCTCACGTAGCCGATTTTCCCGGCGCCTCCCGGCGCCGGAGGCGGCGATGTATCGAGGAATGGGCCCCTCGGTGGGGCCGAAACCAGCTTTCCCAATCCCCCCCTTTCGTCCGGCCGAGACACCCTGAGATCCGACGCAGCGAAAAAATGACAGCATCGTGAAAGTCCGCGCCCGGAGCCCCAGACCCCATCTCTCTGCGCCATCTTTCGAGCCGGTTCGGTCTGGGAGGGTGTCCCGGGACCCGAAGCATGGCGAAAACGCCCGGCTCGAAAAAATGGAGTCGCCAGGATCTCAGGGAACATCGCGGCGGACATTGTTTTTTTTTTTTTTTTTTGTCTTGTCTCCGCGGTTTTCGGCTTCGCGGGGTCCTTCCTGGGCCTGGGGGCCATCCCGAGACACCTCGGGGTGAGCAGCTCGTCCCAAGGAAGAGGTCCGCACCTCCGGGGAGCCTTCGCCGTGCGAAAGACCGCGCCGGACGATGCCTGGAGAGGTGCCCCGAGGATTCCCAAGGAGGCCCCCAGAGGAGGCCCCCAGAGGAGGAGGAGGAGGAGGAGGAGGAGGAGGAGGAGGAGGAGGAGGAGGAGGAGGAGGAGGAGGGGGAGGGGAAGCCTCCAGAGCACCCCGCGCCGAGGCCCAAGGAGGGCCCACCCCTGGGGGCTCCGAGGTGGCGCGGACCACCGGGGGACGCCAGCTGGCCGGCGCTCGGACGTCCCTTCCCTGTGCCTTTTTTTGTTCGGTTCCGTGCGTGGCTTTTTTTTTCACCACATGGTCCGGGATGCTCCTCGAGGGCCCTCGCCGAAGGAAACGTGCACGCGTCCGAGCGATGCCAAGCCAGAGGCCAGGGCCGCTTCTGGCCACACCCGGCCTTGCCGCAGGCGCCGATGGCGGCGTTGCAGCCCACCGGGCTCGGCTGCAGCCTCGCCCGCCGCACCGCGCGGAGCAGCGACAGCGCCTCCGGCCACCGCCGGCCCTTCTCGCAGGCGCTGATCGCCGCACAGCAGCTGACGATGTTCGCTTCCACGCCCACGTGCCGCATCTCGGCGAGCAGGGCCAGCGCGTGCTCCCACTCCCCGCCCTTCTCGCACGCGCTGATGGCAGCGCTGTAGCCGACGACGTTCGGGCTGATGTCCAACTGCCGTGTCTCGCCGAGTATCGTCAACGCCCGCTGCCACTGCCCACCTTTCTCGCACGCGCTTGTGGCAGCGCTGCAGCTGATCATATCCGGCCTGAGGGCCATTTGGCCCAGCCCGTCGAGCAATGACAGCGCCTGCTGCCACTGCCCACTCTTCTCGCAGGCACTTATTCCAGAGTTATAGCTGATCGTATCTGGCTGCAGGTCCGATCCCGACAGCTCCCTGAGCAACATTAGCGCCTGCTCCCGCTGCCCGCCTTTCCCCAGTGCGCTGATAAGCGCATTGTAAAGGACAGTATTCTTTCGCACCAGCGTCCGCGACACACATGCGAACAAATTCAGCGCTACAGCCCACTGCTTGGCGTTTCCATAATTCCGTACGGCGGAGGTGAGAGCAGCCTCGCTGGATTGGAACTCCGCTTGTTTTGAAGCATAGGTAGTCTGTACCATACGCTCGATGAGGTTGGAGCGGCTGCCTCTGGCTTTCAGTGCTGACACCCGATGGTAATTATGTGTGCGAGCTACTGGGGAGCTCGAGTACGAGGAGGAGGGGGAGGAGGAGAAGGAGGAGGAGCAGGAGGAGGAGGACGGTCCGCAGCGATTTCAAAACAGATGCGGTGCGATTTCAGAAACGTGCGCCTCCAGAGTGCGAAGGTTTGCTCTCGCTGGCGCTGCTGGCCTGGTCACAACGGAAAGGCGCGGAACCGCACTGTGAGAGATCGATCGCGCAGAAGAATATGATGAGAAGCTGGAAGATCTTGACGAGGATGCCCTCTTCTTCCTCCTCCTCTTCTTCCTCCTCTTCTTCCTCCTCCTCCTCCTCCTCCTCCCCCTCCTCCTCCTCCTGTCCTCCTCCTCCTCCTCCCTCCTCCTCCTCCTCCTCTTCCTCCTCCTCCTCCTCCTCCTCCCCCTCCTCCTCCTCCTCCTCCTCCTCCTCCTCCTGTCCTCCTGGGGGCAGGCGGTTGGCGGTGCTCGGTGTGGGGACGGCCAATGGGTGCCCCCAACGCTGCCTCCAAGAGGCATCTGAGAGGCCTCCCAACTCCTCCTCCTCCTCCTCCTCCTCCTCCTCCTCACAGGCATCCAGGAGGCCCAATCCGGGCACGGTGGCGGGAGTGGCTGAAAGCCACTGGACCTGGGCCCAGCACAGGAACGGAAAGAGCGCTTCAGAAACAAAAGCCGAAATTACTCACACCACCGTTCGTACCGGGAGCCTTGGCGCTGAGAGCTTGTTACGTCACCCCTCGCTCTTGGGAGCCTTGGTGTTCAGAGATTGTTGCGTTGCCGCCCGTTCCTGAGCCTTGGCTGGGCCTTGGTGTCAGGAACTTGTTACGTCACCGCTCTCTGCTGGGAGCCTTGGTCTTATCAGCTTGTTTACGTCACCGTTCGCTCTTGGGAGCCTTGGTGTGAAGAGCTTTTTGCGTTACCGATCGCTCTCTATTTGGCGTCTCTGGCCTCCTGGGAGCTTCTTGGGGAGAAAGACTAGACTTTTCGGATCGTGGTCCCCCTCTTGGGGCCGTCTTGGGGCCCTCTTGGGCGCCTCTTGGGCGCCTCTTGGGCCGTCTTGGGGCGGTCTTGGGGGCCTCTGGAGCGTCTTCTACGCAGTGAAAGCCGAAAAACCGTATATGCTAAAAATGCACCTTTGCCCCTAGGGAAATCAATAATTGTGGCCTCTTGGTGGCCTCTTGGGACGCCTCTTGGGGCTTCTTGGGGGGCTCTTGGGGCCTCCTGGGAACATAAAAGGCGAAAGGCTAGACTTGTCGGTTCGTGGTCTCCCTCTTGGGGCCGTCTTGGGACCCTCTTGGGCCGTCTTTGGCGCCTCTTGGGCCGTCTTGGGGCCCTCTTGGGCCGTTTCCTTGGCTGGGCCTTGGTGTCAGGAACTTGTTGAGCAACTCTATTTCACATTGCAGGGACACGGATCTGACGAGAGCCTCGAGACGTCCAGGCCAGAGGTTAGAGTCGATGCACGCTCTCATTCCTCCCAGGGTGGGAGGGTGGGAGCCGAAGACAGGCTATGGAGGGGAGAGCGGGAACAAGTGAGAGAAAGCATCCCGATGTTTAAACTTCCTTGGGTCGTTTAGCAGGTGCTGACATCACCGAATTCAAAAAGCCCAAGCTCAAACCGTTCAAGAACATATAGAGCAACTCTTTTTTTCACATTGCAGGGACACGGATCTGACGAGAGCCTCGAGACGTCCAGGCCAGAGGTTCGAGTCGATGCACGCTCTCACTCCTCCCCAAGTTTCCCGGATACGGGAGTTCACTAGGGATGGGAAGGGAGGGATGTCGAATTGTATCCGAACGTGGCAACGCAAGCGGCAGTGAGTGCCCGAACTATACAGTGTGCGAGCTCAGGCGGGTAGGCAGCCGCTGGACGGGTGCGGGCGCTTCCTTCGAGTTGAAAATGAGGCAAGCCTGACCGCGAGCACTGTCCTCTCTGACCACTGCATTTTCCGCAAAGATTCTTAAGATCGTCGACTGCTACGTGACAGAACATGAGGCGAGTTGGTTTCTTACATTGGGCTCTGAATTGGCACTGATCTAGTTCGACTAAGCTGACATGCGGCAAGTTGGCTAAAGCTTGGATCTCTGCGGTGTGCCACAGACGAGAGGTGAGCGGGTGCTCAAGAACAGCAGGGATCTTGAGCTGATGGAGAAGAGCGAACAGGCCTATGGCGGCGTGGGCAACCCGATTGCCTACCTTGAGTTTCTCTCGGTCTGGTGCATTGAGCAACTGGCTGGGCAAACCCCAGGGCATATCTTGGGATCGGATCTTTGCCGTCCGATCTCGCGCGATTGAGAAAGTTTGGCACGAGGGGGCCAAAGCTGCTGCAAGGATGAGGCCCCGACGGGCGTCGCGTCGGATCGCCCTGCGGACCTTTGGATCGACAAGATTCTGCCAAACAGGATCGTGGGCTACATCCCAACTGCGTGTTCTAAAGCCTAGCTTGTCACCTGCTCGCGAGATGCAGCGGCTTCCCGCGAAAAAATCTGCTACATACCGGCCTCTGAGGCCGAAGCGCTGCGCAGCGAGGCGTCTCTCGCGACAGCCACGGAAGCTCCGCCTTAGCTTGGCACGCGCGACTGCCAGGTCAGCATTCGACGGCTGAACTGGACTGGGTGCGCTTGCCCGAGCATGATCCTCATCAGATGGACCTCGCAAGCCTCGTACAGGCGTCTCTGGTCCGCGGGAAAGCGCTCGTACTCGGCGCTCAGACGGCTGCTGTGCTCGTACCTGTGCATGCTTTTTGCCTGAGCCCAGCAGCCGCGCCTTCGAATCTCCTCTAGGCTGCGCGTGCGCCTGCTGGCGTCGATGCTCGCGCCTGAGTGGCGGAGCTGATACAGTGTCAGCTTGCCAACCCCGACCTCGGCCGCTGCCAGCTGCGCCGCCTGCGAGAGCTCCAGGTACGTGAAAGGCCACAGCTTGGTCCTGTCTCCGTGCCCTCTGAGCTCGGCGAACAGCGGACCCAGCCCCCGGAGGTAACTCGAGTCCAGGAGGCAGCCCTCGTCGTAGCGATTCGTTTTGCTTGGTCTGCCCTCCTCCTCTGGGTGCGTCAGAAGGCTCCAGCTGTCCACTGTCGCGCGTGAAGGCGGGACCAGGTCGCACTTGCGGGCTGCCAGCAGGGAAGAGGGCCTTGAATAGGCAGAGAGGCCTACGGCCAAGAACAGGGCCATGAATGGGAGGCCCTTGTCCACCAGCCGCCACATCACTGCTGACCACACGGCGAGCGGCAGCGCTCGGGGGGTGCGCGAGGGCGTCAGCCGCCTCCACGCCTTGAGCGCTCGCCACGTCCGCGGCAGGGCTCTCCCGCCCCGTCGGCCGAAAGCTGGGTGTCGGTCGATGAGGGCGGCTCCAGTCTGGCCCCCCAGGCTGCTCTGCTCCCCGGACAGGTACATCGCGGTGAAGTAGTCGCACACCCAGCAATCCACGGTCTCGTCCGAGCTCCTCACGAGCTTGTCGTCGGTCAGGCCGGCATGCGAGTAGAAACGATCGAGATACTTGGCATAGCGCTCCCTCGTCCGGCGAGTCACCGCCAGTCGCTCCAGCAAGGTGGGCCCACCGGCCATGGTCTGCATGATCATGTCCGTGTAGAAGGCCGCGCGGCGTCGGCGCCGGGAGTCCTGGAGGCGTCGAGACCTCCTCGAGGCCGCAGTCGCGTGGTTCACCACGCTGTCGGACCCGCTCGACTCGCCTCCTTCCCCGGCGTCCGCCTCGTCGTCGCCAGCGCAGGCCGCGGGAGCGAGGTCCTCGAGCGTCACAGGGGGCGGCAACGGCGGCTGGCGAAGGTGGCTCTCCAAGCGTGCCCTGACCGAGCGGGCGCCATGGTCCCTTGTCCTCGCGTCGGGGCGGGCTCTGGGACCACGCGTCTCCGTCGTCACCTGGGGCCCCACCAGCACTCACGACTTCGCCTTCGCTGTCGGTGGATCTCTCCGGCAGGGCGGCGGGTCGACGCCAGGACGTGGCAGAACTCGCGACGGTGCTGGAGAACTCGCCTGCGCTGGAGCCCGCGGCGGCCGCAGCGCCCGAGCACGCATCCGTCGGAACAGACTCTTCGGGCACGGAAGCGAGGAAAGCCTGACTACAGTTTGAGCCGAAACGACTACGGAGAGGAGAGAGAGAGAAGAAGGAGCAGAGATCCTAACCTGCTGATCCAGGACATCGGTTAGCAACTTGGACGAAACTTCTGAGTGATCGCGGCTCCCGGCATCGCTCTGGTTAAACTCTGAGGGAATCCATCTAAAGTACGGGGCGATGCCAAGGGCAAGGGCACAGGCGTTGAAGCGTCGAATCTGGACTAAGAGCTTGAAGTCCTGACTCCTCGAGCGAGCGAAAGCAAGAACGACGGCCATGTTGTCGCACAAGAAAAGCTGTCTGATGCAGGACCCGTGTCTGGTCCTGGCGAGCCTACGGATGGCCTTCACCAAGGCCCGGGCCTCCAGCACCAAAATGCCCTCGCTAAGGCCCCAAACTCCCTTCCGGACGGTTTCCCAGGCCGAGCCTCGGAGGAGCTGCCAGGGGACTTCGGGAAAATCCGCAACGACCTCCCAGTCGCCTAACTGAGGCTCGTCGCCTAAAAGCTGGCTTCTCCACTCGCCTGACTCGTCGCGGAAGGTGGGCAGAGGTGAGTGCGGATTCCCGAGCGGAGTGAGCGCCGACACGCTTGAAACGGGAACGCTCGCTGACACGACCGACGCCGGCGACCTGAGACGGCTCCCAGAAACTTTGGGCCATCGCCCAGCCCGCTAGGCTGGCGTCGGTTTCTAAAACGCAGGGGTTCCACGGCAGCCACCAGTCGCGGCCCAGAAGCAAAAGGGCCCCTTTAAAAGCCACGAGCTCCTCGACCACTTCGGGCCGCATTGAGTCCACGTCAAAATACTGAACCGAAATGAACTTATAGACGGAAAGTGCAATGTCCGATCACTTTTTCAAGCGCCTGGCCGCTGCAACGCCCCCGAGCGAGAAGGCCAGTCAAGCCTCGCTCGAGCTTCCAAAACCGGCTCGAGGTGATCCCCGAGCGAAGGCGAGCGCCGTCAAGCTCAGTGCCGAGAGCCTCGCCAGCGCCGCCGTGGGACTCAGACTTGTGGAGCGCCAGGCCGACCGGCTCGAACAGATCGCCCCACTCGGAGACCATCCTGTCACTGAGGTCGGCGTCGTCCGAAACGGCGCCAAGGATGTCCACGTACACGTAAGCACTTCCGACCCCGCGCGAGGCGGCACGTAGCACAGGAGCCTCGGCCTGATCCTGAATCAAGGGCTGTTGTCTGTCAGCTGGCATCGCCTTGCACAGGCTGGGGCTACGGCACGCCCTGTCCTCATTCGCGGCCTGGGCCAGGTACAGCGACCGCGTGAAACCCATCGGAAGCGCGGCGAGGTAGGGCCGCGCGGGGGCGTCCGGCGGAGCATCCGCCGGGGCGCCGGCCACCTGAATCCCATCGAGCACGTGCTTCGGGACGGCGGGCAGGCAGAAGTAGCGGCCGAGGTCCTCGCGGACGCGCATTCGGTAGAAGCAGTCCTTCACGTCGGTGGTGGCCACGTAGACAGTGAAGGCATCCAGAAGCCGCTGCCCCTCAACTGATGAGGGCAAGACACCCAGCGGCAACTCTATCTCGATCCGGCCGAATCCCTCGCTGCTGAGAAGCTGCACCCCCGGCGGAGTTCTGAAGTGGCCGTTGCTTCGCCTAGCGTCGATTATCATGCGCTGAGCCCCGTTTGACTTAGCCACGAAAAACAGGCCCACCGACTCGGCGGGCCTGGCGGTTACTCCCAGAAGTCCACGTCCAGCAAGATCTCGCAAGAAGGTACGATAAGAGTTTGAATTCCTCTTCAGCACTGGGTCCATGTACAACCGCGGCATGCTGTCGAAGTCCACTGTCTCCGGCTCCAACCTCATTCGCTTGTGATTCTCCTCCAAGAACGAGCGGCACCCAGGGCTCACGATGTCCTCAATGAAGCGGCAGTCCAGCACGCTATTGGGCAGCGAGACCTTGCCGGGCTGGTAGGAGACGAGGTTCCTTGGGGCAGAGTCCGTCTCGTATACGGACTGCCCCCGGAGCAGCTCCCTCAGGGCTGCCTCCGCCTTCGGCATCACCTCCGGAGCTGCGGCCTGTCGCCGATGAGCTTCACGAAGCAGGTGCTGCTGAAGGGCTGCATGCTTGTCCAGGGTTGTCACGCCTGGACTCGGTGAAGCAGCCGCGCCCTTGAAGCCCGCCAGCCAGTTCAAGCTGTGGAGGGCGCGGTTCACCAATTCCACCTCATGCTGCCGAGTGTGGGTCCTACGCTGAGACCTGCGTCCCCGAGCGGAGTCGCCCGGCGCCATCATCATCGGCACGGGAAAAAGGTCTCTCTCAAAATCGGACGGCGGCAGCGGCGAGGCGCGGGCCAGGTTGTGGTGCCAGCCAGGGGGGGCCCACTCCCCCGGCTGTGCCTTCTCGGTCATGACTGGACCGGCGGGGGGAGCTCTGGGGTGCGACCTCCGCGACCACGACCGCCGCGACCTCGCCCCTTGTCCCCACCGCCGGCCCCTGTGGTGGCACCATCAGCGCCATGATGGGCTGCGGCAGACCCCGACGTCACACGAGCATCCACCGCCTCGGCCTTCTTCATAGACTGCTCGACCTCCCAGTCCTCCCTAGCGCGGCGGCTGACGTGGCTCCTCAGCGAGGGCGCCATCAGGTCGTCAGCCTCGCCCAGTGGAGCCAAGTACTTGGCGTTGGCGAACGAGGGGGCACCCGCGCGCTTGTAAGCGTCAACGATCGCGTTGAGCCGGCGCGCGATCACCTCCAGGCAGGCCAGTCCCCCCAGGTTAACCTGGTCGAAGGACCCGGCCTCCTCGAGCGCCTCCACCAGCGGCCGAAGCTCATGTGCGACGCGGTCGGTGGGAGCGATGTTCTTATCGCGCAAGAACTTCTCGAGCCACGCCCGAGGGGTGCCTGCCGTGCGGTGCATTATCTTGCAGGTGTGCAAGCACGTCAGGCCGCCCTCCAAACGCTGGTGGCCCCAGTCGTAGCTCAACGACTCGTTCACGGCCTTCCTGAACTCCTTGTATCGCTCGCCCTGGTCGTCCCACTCGACCCAGAGAGTGCGAGTGTCGTCGCTAGCGGCGTCAGCCAAAGCGACCGCCGACGGACCGCCATCCGGGGCGGGAGCGCCCTCGGTGCCACTGGCGGCGGCGCCGTCCAGGGCGCCGTCAGGCGGGGAGGAGCCGAGCGCCGCCACAGGAGCTGCCACCTCCAGAAGGCGACTCAGCTCGGCAACGCGGCGCGTCCTCCAGCTCGCCACGTCGCACCGCGGCATCAGCTCCAGACGAAGCGCCCGGCCCCGCCGAAGCCGGAGGGCGTCCACTCCAGCACCAATGAGCGTCTCGCTCAACGGGTCAACGGTCGCGCCGATGTCCAGGTCGGCCGCGGGCTCGGCCAGCGCCCAGACATGCCCGTCAGGAAGGGGGCGTGGGCGAGCCCGTGGCAGCGTCAGCCAGAGCGCCGCCTACTCCGCCGTCGGTAACCGGCGGCGCCTGCTTCCCGCGGAGGCGGTGCGGGGGCCGCGTCGGCGCGGCCCACGGGAAGACGTCCCCGCCATCCGGCAGCCTACCCGAGGCGAGCTCCACATGGGCGGGCCCATCGGCAGCAACCTGCCCGCGGGCCTCCATCGCTAGTCGGCACTCGTCGGCCAACTCCACGAGCCTGGCGAGGGACGGCTGCTCACGGAAGCTGTAGAGCTTCCGACCGTCAGCAGGCGGGGCCCCACCGCTGGCGATGCGCTCACCGCCCGAGGGGCCGTCTGCGGGCGAGGCCCCCGAGAGCAGCTCCTCCCACAGGTCACCATCTGGCGAGAGGACCCAGTAGAGGTGTGGGTCCACCAACTCGCCATCCTCGACTCGACGCGAGGGCCAAACCACGACGCGCTCATGGTCCATGACGTCGCCGTCGTAGCTCACCCGCGCGCGAGCACCGCTGGGAAGATCAGCGCACCACCCCTCCCCCGCGGGCAACGGGGGCAGGGCCGCCAGGCGTCCGCGCCGGCGCGACACTGTGCCTGGGCCACTGGCGGCTCGGGCAGCAGTTGAAGCACCTCTCCGCCAACGCGATCCACACCGGCGCGAGGAGGCTCACCAGCAGATGCAGTGCCAGCGCCTCGGCGCTCAGCCCGTCACCGACCTCGGGGCAGACGCAGCCGTCGTCTCCCGGCGGCGGTGGAGGCGGCGGTGGCGCGGTCGCAAGCTCCGAGAGCGCACGAGCCGCGGCCTCGGCGCGCAGCGCCGCCGACGAAGCCTCGCCGCAAGCGCCGGCGACCCCGTCGAGCCACAAAGGAACCTCGCTCGGCGGCTCGGGCCTGGGCTGTGGTGGACTCGCCCGCCAGCCAAGACCAGCGATCAGCGCCACGCACAAGGCGAGCATGGGGCGCGCCGCCCGTCCTGAAGCCGAAGACAGGCTATGGAGGGGAGAGCGGGGACAAGTGAGAGAAAGCATCCCGATGTTTAAACTTCCTTGGGTCGTTTAGCAGGTGCTGACATCACCGAATTCAAAAAAGCCCAAGCTCAAACCGTTCAAGAACATATAACGTCACCGCTCTCTGCTGGGAGCCTTGGTCTTATCAGCTTGTTTACGTCACGTTCGCTCTTGGGAGCCTTGGTGTGAAGAGCTTTTTGCGTTACCGATCGCTCTCTACTTGGCGTCTCTGGGCCTTCTTGGGGGTCTATTGGGCCACTTTCGGGGCCGTTTTGGAGGCCTCTTGGGAACCTCTTGGGGGCCTCTTGGGGCTTCTTGGGGGGCTCTGGGGGCCTCCTGGGAGCTTGGGGCGAAAGGCTAGACTTTCCGGTTCGTGGTCCCCCTCTTGGGGCCGTCTTGGGGCCCTCTTGGGCCGTCTTGGGCGCCTCTTGGGCCGTCTTGGGGCCCTCTTGGGCCGTTTTGGAGGCCTCTTGGGAACCTCTTGGGGGCCTCTTGGGGCTTCTTGGGGGGCTCTGGGGGCCTCCTGGGAGCTTGGAGCGAAAGGCTAGACTTTCCGGTTCGTGGTCCCCCTCTTGGGGCCGTCTTGGGGCCCTCTTGGGCCGTCTTGGGCGCCTCTTGGGCCGTCGTGGGGCCCTCTTGGGCAGTTTGGGGAGCCTCTTGGGAGCCTCTAGGGCCGTCTTGGGGCGGTCTTGGGGGCCTCTTGGAGCGTCTTCAACGCAGTGAAAGCCAAAAAGCCGTGTATGCTAAACATATACCTTTTCCCATAGGGAATCCATGCCTTTGGCGTCTTGGTAGCCTCTTGGGACGCCTTTTGGGGCTTTTTGAGGAGCTCTTGGGCCCTCCTGGGAGCATCTTGAAGCGAAAAGCTAGACTTGTCGGTTCGTGGTTCCCCTCTTGGGGCCGTCTTGGGGCCCTCTTGGGCCGTCTTGGGCGCCTCTTGGGCCGTCTTGGGGCCCTCTTGGGCCGTTTTGGAGGCCTCTTGGGAACCTCTTGGGCCGTCGTGGGGCGGTCTTGGGGGCCCCTTGGGCCGTCGTTAACGCCGTGAAAGCCGAACAGCCGTATATGTTCAACAAATACGTTTTCCGATGGAAAATCAATATTTTTGGCCTCTTGGGGGCCTGTTGGGGCGCCTCTTGGACGCCTCTCGGGGCGTCTCGGAAGCCTCTTGGGCCGATCTTTGGGGCCTCTTGGGCCGTCTAGGGCCCTTCTGGGACGGAAACGGGGAGAACCCGAAAACATACAAAAACCCAAAGGAAAACCCGAAAACGGCCATTAACGCCCATACCCTCGCCCTTCCGCCCCCTCTGCACTCCCCCTTAGGGGCTTCGCCCAAAACACAACGTCATCACTCGTAATTACCTCGCTCTTTCCGTTACCTGCTTGGCTCGGGGACGGAAAGCGCGTGTACTTTGTGAGGGCGCGAGGTCGCTGGCTTAGTGTCTTGGGGCCCTGCTGGTGTTTAGGCTTTGGTAACAAAGATCTAGCACAAAGCCTTGCGACAATCAATGAATGTTGCATTTCGGGCCCTTCCTAGGGCGCCTTTTGGGGCTCTTTTGGGAAAGCTTGGGACCCTCTTGGGCTGTCCTTGGGCCCTCTTGGGCCGTCTTGGGGGGCTTGGGCCGTTGTGGGGCCCTCTCAGGGCCCTCTTGTGGACCTCCTGTGGCCCTCTTGGGGCTCTCTTGGGAACCTTTTGAAACCCTCAAGGGAGTCTCTTGGATTTCTTCGGGGGCCCTCTTGGGCCGTCCGGGGGCCCTTTTGGACCGTCTTGGGGCGTCTTGGAAGCTTTCGGCCGTCTTGGAACTTTCCTTGAGGCTTCTTGGAGCCCCATTGGGAGCCTCATGGGGCCTACTTGTGGCTCGCTTGGGAGCTTCTAGGGGCCCGATCCCCCAAACATGCAAACATCTTTCGGGGCCCTTCTGGGCAGTCTTGGGGCGCCTCTTGGGCTAGTTCGGGGGCCTTTTGGGCTGTCGTGGGGCGTCTTGGAGGCCTGTGGCCGTCTTAGGGGCTCTCTTGGGCTCTTGGGGGCCTCTTCGGGCCCTCTTGCGAGCCTCTTGGGGACGGCTTTGGAGCCGTCTTGGGGGGTGGGCGCCATTAGATCCGACCCTCCTGCGCCTCGCCCCTCCCCTGGACCCCTCCCTAGAGGGCTTCGCCCCACCAGAACGTCATCACTCGAACCTCCTCTTTCCGTTACCTGCCCAGCACGGGGACGGAAAGCGCGCGTACTTTGTGAGGGCGTGCGGTCGCTTGCTTAGAGTCTTGGGGCCCTGCTGGTGTTAAGACTTTGGTGCGACAAGCAAGCATCTAGCAAACAACCGTGCGAAAATCAATGCAGATTGCATGTCCGGACCTTCCTGGGGGTCCGTTTGGGGCTCTTTTGTGCAATCTTGGGGCCCTCTTGGGCCGTCCTTGGGCCCTTTTGGGCCATCTTGGGGGCTTGGGCCGTCATGGAGCCCTCTTGAGGCCCCCTTGGGGGCCCTCTGGGGGGCCTCTGGCGCTTGGGGTTCTTCTTGGAACTTTCTGGGACCCTTCGGGGCCTCTCTTGGGCCGCCTTGGGGCTCTGCTGGGCTGTCTTGGAGCCCACTGGGGCCGTCTTGGGGCCCTGTTTGGGGCCTCTTGGGGCCGTCTTGGGGCGGTCTTTTGGGACCTCTTAGGCCATCTTAGATGGCATGAAGCGAAACAAGCGACTTTGCAAAACACGTACGTTTCCCCGACGGAGTGAAACGATTTTTGCCTCTTGGGGGTCCTCCTGAAGGCCTCTTGGAGCGTCTGGAGGGCCACGTTGACCGTCTTGAAACCATCTTGGGCTGCCCTCTTGGACCTCTCCGACGCCGTCCTGGAGGTATCTTGGGCGCTTTTGGGGCTGCCTCAGACCGGCCCTGGGGGCCTCTTGGGCGCTCTTGGGGCTGACTTGGGGGCCGTCTTGGGCCGCAGATTGCCAAAATTAGGGCCAGTAGATCTGGGGGTGCTGCTGTCTACCCCGCCCTGGCCATCGCTCGGAAGTCCATTCCCTGTTTTTTTTTTGGTTTCGTGCGTGGTTTTTTCGCGAAATGATCAAGGATGCTCCTGGATGGTCCTCGCCGAGAAAAAAATGGACACGTCCGAGCGATGCCAGGCGCCCTGGTTATTTCTCCCGCCTAGCGGATCGCGACGCCACGCGCGCTCTCCGTCATCCAGGGGGGGGCTGCTGCCTACCCCCCCCACCCCCCCTGCTTCTTTCTCCCGACCAACGGATCGCGACGCCACGCGCGCTTTCCGTCACCTGGGGGCCCGGCTGTCTACCCACCCAACCCCCCCTGTTATTTCTCCCGGCGAACGAACGGATCGCGACGCTTCGCGCGCTGTCCGTCGTCTGGGCCTCGTGAGGTCAACCCCCCTCACACTCCCCTTTGTGATTTCTCCCGGCTCTCGGATCGCGACGCTGCGCGCGCTTTCCGTCATCCGCCGCCCCCTGCTGATTTATCACAATGGTGCCTGACGTGCTCAACGTCTGATAGTTTTGGGTTCTTCTTGGGATCGAAGATGCCTACTGCGAATCGCCGCCGCCCCTGCCTTTTGGCATCGCCCACGTGGCCGAGCGTTGCGGCAAGAGCTCTGCCAAGCTATCGGACCATGTGTTCCCCCCAGCCGTTGTTGGAAGCTTCCTGGGAGTCTCTTGGAGGCATGTTGGGGGTCTCCTTCGACCTCTTGGGGGCCTTTGGGGGCTTCTCGGGGGCCTCTTTGCCCGTCTTAGGGCGTTCCTGGCCCGTCTGACACCGTCGGAAGCCGTCTTGGGAGCCCCTCTGGGCCGACTTGGGGCCCTCTTGTGGTGACCCAGGGCTGTCTTGACGACCATCTTGGGCGTCTTGGAAGCCTCTTGGGGCCGTCTTGGGGCCCTCTAGGGGCCGTCTTGGGGGCCTCTTGGGCCGTTCTGGGGCCATCTTGGAGGCCTCTTGGGCGATCTTTGGGGGTTCTTTTCTTGATCCGCAAAGTGTTGCACCCCGCAGCTGCAACACACAAAGCATTGGTGAACAAACAATTGGCTGCATTGTCTCATTCATGAAGGCAACTGGGTGGTCCCACGCAGCATGCCAAACCTGCTCAGTGCAACTGAGGTCACTGAAGGAGGGAATCACCAGTGCTACTACTAGAGTCCGACAGAGCACCAAGTGCAACGGCGTCTTTCGTAAGTGCTGACTCGCAGATACTGACCAACTGCCTGCATTCCTCATCGGACATTTCCTCGTCCGCATCCCAGTCAACGAACATATACTCCTTCATCATATCATAGCGCCCCAACTTCGCCAACAGGAGTGCCCGCATAATGTTCAACGACCATATGGCGTTGTGCGCGCTAGCGTTAGCTGGGTTGATATGCATGATAGGGCGTTTCACTCGAAGACTCAAGACTTCGTGAATGTCGCCATGTTCCTGGAAACGCTGGCCGCGTACCCATGGTATACATATGGTCTTGATTGCGATGAGTAGAACGCCGAGTGCGGGAATGCTGGCAATAAACGCATCCAACTGGTTGCGCAGCTGGTAGATCACTATTTGCGCGACCCATAACACAATAAGTCCTACTGGGCTGACCGCCATCAACGCACTCATAACCTTGTACTGCATGCTTGAATACATGTGTTCCGTGAACTCTAAATACGCAAGGGTCTCGAAGCTCCAGATCCCGCTCCGCGCCAGGCAGAACAGCTTGTAGAAGACAAGCAGCGCCGCGGTAAAGGGAAGGGCCCAAGCGAGGAACAGCCACACGAAATTCGCAGACAAAAAAATCAACGAAGTTGCCGGGAGCACGAGTGTACACTGTTTCAACTGGCTCGTGCAGTCGTCCTTGTCCTGGTAAGTCGCAAACCATTTGATCGGAGTTTCTTCTGGATCATCGATGAAATACGGATCCTTAACGCCACTGAAAGTCGCACTCTGCTCCACGGTGAAGCCCAAGAAAAAAAGAGATATGAAATACTTATGGGCTACATCCTGGACGACTTTCCCAATCGACGTGGTTGTTTGGATTTGGCCGATCAAGACTACCCACGACCCAAGGGCTGCCCATACGGCGGAACACTCAACTACCACGAAATGGATCCACGCTGTCGGCAGTTTATGCCACCAGCTGAGGAGCTGCTTGGTCAAACTGTTAGCTTTCTTCATCGAGACCGACGGTCGAGTACGTGGCAGGCACCTCGGAGCCCTCGGGGCTTGAGCCAAAATGGCTACGGAAGCGATCTTTGGGGGCTCCTGAGCCGTCTCGGGACGTCGGAAGGCCGAAAAGAAACAAATGCTTAAATCCTAAAAACAGCCTGCGAGAAATCAATGATTTTGCCTTCTTTGGGCCTTCCTGGAGGCCCTCTTGGGGGCCTCCTGGGCCGTCCAGGAGGCCTCTTGGGGACCTTCTGGGGTCGCAGGCCATCTTGAGGCCATCGTGGGCCGTCTTGGATGCATCTTGGGGCCATGTTGGGGCCTCTTGGGGTCATCTTGGCCGTCTTGGAGGCCATCTTGTGACATCTTGGCCGTCGGAGAGGCCACCTGAACGTCTTGAAAGATCTTTTGCGGACGCTGAGGGCCCCTCCCGGGTGGCCGGCGCAGGGAACCGAAGCCCCAAGGGGAGTTCTTTTGGAAAAAGCACCCAAACCGAACCGTACCCGTCGGTCGGAAGAAGTGGGCAGAGACATGAAACAGGAAGGCGCTGGAAGTAGCTTGGGCTTCCGCCCGGCCCCTGAAGAGGAGGGAAGATTTAAGTCGGGCGTGTCCCCCTACAGGGGGATTTTCGACGGACAAAAAAATACAGAGAAAATGCTCCCAAATGGTCAAAAAATGCTCAAAAAATAGTCCCCAGACTATTTTTGGACTATTTTTTGGCCATTTTTGGGGTATTTTTTATTTTTCGTCGAGAATCCCCCTGTATGGGGGACAGGCCCGACTTACGGGAAGATGGAAAACCACTCTGTCCTCGAAGTAGGAAGGCGGCTAAAGTAGATTGGGATCTGGGAGCTCCCAAAAATACCGACTTTCAACGACCAGCGTGTCTAGAGGATTCGGCACGCCAAGCACCCCTCTGGCACGCCAGCAGGGGGCGGCGGACTTCCCCCCCGGGGCTTCGGTCCGCTGCGCCGGGCCGCCCAGAACGCTTGCCCGGAGCCGGTTGGCGAGGATTTTTCCGCTCCAGATGGGCCCAAGATGGCCTCCAAGACGGCCAAGATGGCGTCCAAGTTCGCCCGAGATGTTTCAAAATGGCCTCCTAGACGGCCCAAGAGGGTCCGATATGCCTCCAAGTCCGCCCAATGAGCCTCTAAGACGGCCCAATCGGCCCAAGAGGCCTCAAGAGACCTCCAAGACGGCTCAAGAGGAGGCCTCCAAGAGGTCCTCCAGAGGGCCCGAAGAAATCCAAATCAGTGATCTCCTTCAGGTTTTGAAAGATCTTGTCATTTGCTTTTTTTCGCCCTTCCGACGGCCTAAGAAGCTCCAAGATTGCCCCAAGACCGCCCAATAGGCCTTCAAGATGGCCCCAGGACGGCCCAAGAGACTCCCAAGATGGTCCCCAATGGGCCCCAAGCCGGCCCAAGTGGCCTCCAAGACGCCCAAAATGGTCGTCAAGATGAACAGCCCCAAGAGGGCCCAGAGAGTCTCCCAAGACGGCTTCCGACGGCGTCAGACGGGCCAGGCACACCGTAAGACGGCCAAAGAGGCCCCCAAGAAGCACTCAAAGGCCCCCAAGAGGGCCAGGGAGGCCCCCAAGAGGCCTTCAAGAGACCCCCAGGAAACTCCCAGAAGGCCCCAAGACTGACCCAAGAAGCTCACAGGAGGTCTCCTCATCCTTCTCATCACCCTTTTTCCTTCCTCTCCTCATCCTCCTCTTCCTTCCCCACGTGTTCCCTGGAGGGCTTCCACAACGGCTGGGGGAACGCATGCTCCAATAGCGTGGCCGAGCTCTGGCCGCAACGTTTGGCCACATAGGCGTATCCTAAAAGGCAAGGGGCCGCGGTGATTCGCCGTTGGCGCTTCGATCCGCTGGCCCCTGTGGTCTTGCCACAAGAGTGCACAGCATGCCAAATGTCTGGCAAATTTTTGGTTCTTTCCTGAATTTGGGGTCTCGGTCCAGCCCGCGGGCAACCCGGAAAGCTCTGGGCGACGCCCCTCCCGTCGGCTTTCTCGCTTAAGATGGACTCAGGGTGGCCCCCGAGACGGCCAAGATGCTCCCAAGAGAGCCCAAAATGTCTTCAAGGCGGCCCGTGATGCACCCAAGACGGCCCAAGAGGCTTCCAAGGGGTCCACTGTGAAGGCCCGAAGAAGCTAAAGTCATTGATTCGTCGTATGCGTTTCAAGGATTTTGGCATTTGCTTCGAAATGGCCTTCCGACGACCCAAGACGGCCCAAGAGGCCCCCAAGATTGCCGCAAAAGCGCCCAAGAGGCCCCCAGGACACTCCCAGGAGGAGGAGGAGGAGGAGGAGGAGGAGGAGGAGGAGGAGGAGGAGGAGGAGGGAGGAGGAGAGGAGGAGGAGGAGGAGGAGGAGGAGGAGGAGGAGGAGGAGGAGGAGGAGCGGGGAATGGGGGGAGGCTACGAGTCGGCCTCCAGCCGAAACCTCGCCCACGCCCCCCTCCCCCACTCCTCGTCCCCCTGCTGCTGCCGCCTCCCCTTCCAATCCCCCCCTCCACCACCTTCCCCTATACCCGCTGATTCCCCCGTCCCACTCCTCCTCCTTCCTCCCTCCTCCTCCTCCTCCTCCTCCTCCTCCTCTCTCCTCCTCCTCCTCCTCCTCCTCCTCCTCCTCCTCCTCCTTCTCCTCGCCCTCCTCCTTCCCGCTCCTCCCCCTCCCATTCCCCCCTGCTTCTCCTCCTTCTGCTCTTGCTCCGCGCCCTCCTCCCCCTCCCCCCCTTTCCCTGCTGCTCGTCTTCGCCTGTCAACCTGACACTTCCTTGACTCTGCTACGCCAGAGTAGGATGTCTTTTCTCCATCACCGAGGGCGCGAAGCAAACCTGATGCCCCTGTGGTTGCCTGTCGATGCGTCCAGCTGAGGAAGTGTAAACCATAACGAAGCAGCACAGTGGATGAACATGCGGGCAAAAAGCCCAAGGAATTGTGCGGGGGATGCCCGTGGCCCAGATGGCCGCTCATGTCAACTAAACAGCGGCAACCGCGGAGGGTGAGTGGGAAGGAGAAGGAGAGAGAGGGGGAGAGAGAGATAGAGAAAGAAAGAGAGACATAATGATCTAGAGAGAGAGAGAGAGAGAGAGAGAGAGATACAGAGAACGAACAAACTCATATTGATAAACAGAACGAGATTTAGAGTCGTGTGCGCACATACCTGTGTAAACATAAGTGTAGGTGTCCGTATTCTATGATATCATTCTAGCATCGTATAGTTTGTTGCGTTATACTGTATGCTTCATTACGTTATAAAATCTTATGATCTAGTATGCTGTATTATAATTTAGTATGCGGTACTATGCGATACTATATTAGATTGCATTACATTATATGAAAGTGTACTATCTGCATAGGCTTGCTTTATGGGTGTCCTAGCTCAAATCCTACTGATTGGTCCGTTGCCCCCCCCCCCCCTCCCTCATTCCCATGCCCCCCCTAATTCCTGTGGCTATGCCTATGCCTCCTGCCGAACTTCTATGCTTACGCCTATGCCTATGCACCACCTCTGAGCGCTCCCATGCCTATGCCTATGCACCACCTCTGAGCGCTCCTCCGCCTATGCCTATACTTGCTTGTGCGCTTGCTTGCTTCCTTGCTTGCACGCTTGCTTGCTTGCTTGCTTGCACGCTTGCTTGCTTGCTGAGTTGCGGATTCCATGCATCCTTGATTCCTCTGATTCCTTGATTTGAATGGTCTAATCTATGTGGGGCCAACGCTGGCTGATATATATATATATATATATATATATATATATCATAGTGTATGATGGTATCATACATTCTGCTCTCTTATATCATATTACTTTACATTCGAGTACACTATAGTTTAGCCTAGTATACTAGATTACGTCATAATATAGAATCGTACACACTCTTTTATTTTTTAATGATATTATCATCTGTATGCACCCCCCCCTGTCAAGGACCTACCTGGTCTGTGCTGTCGTGCTGGCGGCTCACCGCTGCTGACGCAGGATTCGATCCATATTCCAACTGGAAGGGGACCGATCCCGTATGCAGATGATACTTGTTGTGTTGAAACTCGTTGCAGGCCAACAACAGGAACAGATGCCAGAGCCAAGGGATGCTTAATGCATTCGAATGCTATTCCTGCTGATTCTCCTTGATTCTCATTGATTCCAGCTGATCATCACTGATTCCAATCGATTCCAATTGCTTCAGATTGATTACAAGTGTTCCCTGCTGATTCCGACGGGTTCCTATTGATTCCTCTTGGTTACTATCTATTCGTATTGGTTCCTACTGATGTCTATTTATTGCTTTTGATTCCTTTTGGTACGTACAGGTCCCTACACATTCCTACTGATTTACCTTGATGCCTATTGATTACTTTTGATTCCTATCAATTCCACTCGATTGTCATTAATTCCTGCTGATTTCTACGGATTCGTGTTGCTTCCTGTTGATTTCTATTGGTTCCGAATAATCCCTGGTGATTCCTAACCATTCCTATTGATCCCTGCTGATTTCCAGTGGTTCCTATTGATTCCTTTTGATTCCGACTGGTTCCTATTGATTCCTACCGACTCTTTTTCATTATCATTGCTTTTTGTAGAAAAAAAAGCGAGAGGAAGAGAGAGAGAGAAAGAGAGAAAGAGAGAGAGAGAGAGAGAAAGAAAGAGAAAGAGAGAAGAGACAGAGACTGGGGTGGAGGAGGGGGGGGCGTTTTCTTATCGTGAAACTTTTTGGATGTTTGAGAGGGTCACAAGGATTATTTGTTTTCTGTTGGTGACATGCTTCTCAATGCGTTCGGGTGATGTTCCTATTGATTCTCATTGATTCTTAATGGTTCCAAATGAATGCCATTGATTCCTATTGACTCCGATTGCTTCATATTGATTACACTTGATCCCTATTGATTCCTCTTGATTCCCAGTGATTCCTACTGATTCCTCTTGATTCCTATTGATTCGTGCTGACCCCTAATGATTCCTACTGCTCCATATTGACTCATACTGCTTTCTGTGGGTTCATATCGGTTCCA